TTTAGAGGGAAATGGGCCAAATGCTGGAAAATGGAACTAGATTTATTTAGGGTATCTGTTTGGCATTTAAAGTTTTGGCAAAGATCTATAGCTCGGGTTGTGGGTGAGGTTGTTGACTTGCTTGCCGAGCTGGCTTGTTCTCCAGCTGTAATGCAATCAACAAACATATAGAATTAGACCCCATATACAAACCCATACAGATCAAAACCGGAAATGACACTACTCACCATAATGGACCAAACAGTATAAATTCCAAGCAGAGTAGAATAACATCCCTTCATCGGAGGCTCCACTGATGATGTCACCTAGCATGGAGATGAAACGTCTGAACGAGAACAAGCCAGCTCAGCGAGCAAATCAACAATCTCATCTGTTTGGCATGGATGAGTTGGATCAAAGGGTCTGTTTCCATGCTGTATATCTCTATGATTCTACAACTCTATGACTCTACTGGAGAGTATGAGTAGAATTGAACATTCTTGTGTGTCTCAGCCTAGTTTGAACATTAGTGTACTGTGAAGGTCAAATTCGAAGAATTACCCAAGTCACCCCTATGTTGCACGTAAAGACAACCTCATTCCGAGTGCAACTACCAATGTAAACACCACTGTAACCTCCACTGCAACAGTCACAATGGGAAAGAGCAAGGAGAGACGGGAGAATTTCAGGAAAAGGACTTTAAACCATGACAGCTCAAGTGTCAGTTAAGATTGAAATAGCTGAGATTGGAGTGATGTTTATCTGGGACTGAGACTCTGTAATGGATGGCATTGGGAAACAGGTTGAAACTTTGTTTTGATGTTTGTGTTAAAATATATATAACTTGGCTTTTTTTTCTCTTGTGGGTTTGGGATGCTGTTAAGAGGGTCGGTGCAGACTTGATGGGCTGAATGGCCTTATCTGCTCTGCAGGGATTCTATGAAAATGATTTTGCTTCCCACCAATTACTTGGCTATAAGAGGGTGCTTCACTCCTTTTTTTCTCTTTTCCCCCTATGTATTCATGAAATCTACAATGCAAATGTTATAAGTGTACCTTTACTGATTAAGGGTGAAATGTTTTTCTCATAATGAGAGATTATGACATTGAAATAAATGTAGCGGAGATTTTATGGTTAGAATTAAGAAGTAGAAAAGGACTTAAAGGATCAGGAAGTTACGTGTAGGATTTCTGGCAGTGACCATGAAGTGGTAGATTGTATTGGTGCAGAGATTGGACGTGCATGTGGCAAAGATTAGAATGGTTCTATTGGGTGATGTTAACTCTCATATAGATTGGGAAAAAGCAGTGAATTTATTGAATGTGTCTGGCTTTTTAGTCAGGTCTAGAACCAATAACGTGCTGACCAGTATTAGACTTAGCATGAATATTGATGCAGGTTTAGTTACTAACCTAAAGGTACATGAATATTTGTCTAACAGTGATCATAAAGGGAAAAGTATGAAATAACTGGTAAGGTTCAAGATTTTGTTAAGGCTGAGATGAGTGATACTATCCATAATAAGCTGGGCAAATTTGTTACTAGATAAATGACAACGGTGGGAGATATTCATAAAAGAATTCAATGTTCACAATTTATTTAGACAAGGGACAAAAATTCTACTTGCTGAAAACAAAATAGTGATAGACAGCTCACGAGATAAGATGCAACTAAAAGTTAAAAGAAAAATTATATAAATTGCAAAAAAAAGCACAAACCCTGGAGAATGATAAAGAAATGAAAAATTGTCAAGTGTCATAAGAACATAAGAACTAGGAGCAGAAGTAGGCCATCTGGCCCCTCAAGCCTGCCCCGCCATTTAATAAGATCATGGCTGATCTTTTTGAGACTCAGCTCCGCTTACCTGCCCACTCACCATAACCGTTAATTCCTTTACTGTTCAAAAATTTATCTAGCCTTGCCTTAAAAACATTGAGTGAGGTAGCTTCAACCGCTTCACTGGGCAGGGAATTCCACAGATTCACAATCCTTTGGGTGAAGAAGTTCCTCATGACCTCAGTCCTACATCTGCTTCCCCTTATTTTGAGGCGATGCCCTCTAGTCCTAGTTTTACCTGCTAGCGGAAACAACCTCCCTGCCTCCACCTTGTCTATTCCCTTCATAATCTTATATGTTTCTATAAGATCTCCCCTCATTCTTCTGAATTCCAATGAGTATAATCCCAGTCTACTCAGTCTCTCCTCATAATCCAACCCTCTCAACTCTGGAATCAACCGCGTGAATCTCCTCTGCACCCCCTCCAGTGCTAATATATCTCTTCTCAAGTAAGGAGACCAAAACTGCACACAGTACTCCAGGTGTGGCCTTACCAGGACTCTATACAGCTGCAGCATAGCCTCCCTGTTTTTAAACTCCATCCCTCGAGCAATGGCAGACAAAATTCCATTTACCTTTTTAATTACCTGTTGCACCTGCAATCCTACTTTTAGCGATTCATGCACAAGGACACCCAAGTCCCTCTGCACAGCAGCGTGCTGCAATTTTTTACCATTTAAAACAGAGTCCGTTTTGCTGTTATTCCTACCAAAATGGATGACCTCACACTTATCAACATTATACTCCATATTAGAGTGATAACCAGCTAATGAGAATCACAGGAAGAGAATTGGAAAAGGAACTTACATAGGCATGAAAATTAACACGAAGATAATTTATAATTACATTGCTCGGGAACAACAATTAACATTCATTTTGTAAATGAAACTAAGAATCTGGTTGATAACCCTGCTTGGAGCTTCACATCCCTTTCTATGTTGTATGAGATCTTACCCTTGTTGAGTTTCCCCCTTTCACTGTAATCACTCCTTTAGCAATTAAGCCCATCTGCAGTCTTGAGTTTCCTACTTTCCCCAGGAATCCGTGGACCCTAATCATTGATGTCCAGAGCCCCAGAGTGAATTTGCAAAACTGTCACAACTGATTATGGCCCAGTCCCTGCACTGATCCTGTAATCTCCAGGTTAGTTGCACATTAACCACAGGACTGAACATGGACCAATCCCTCAACTTTGATTGGACCAAACAGCTGACTGACAATGGCCAGCTGCTTTTATTGGAATCCAAAGCCTTTTGTCTGACTCTGGTGCTCTTGATTGACAAGCTGTCTTCCTTTTCCTTTGGCACTAAAATGTAATGCAAGATATTGGCAGTCTCCCCAGTATTGGGGAAGAAAAGGAGAATTGGAAGTGGCATATAAATAAGGCAAGCTGAGCAATCCAGTGAGCATCTGTGATGCAATCCAGTTTGCTTGTTAATTCATATATAACTCATTATTACTGGATGTTAGGTTGTAGGATAGATAGTACTTAGTGTTTACTTTGTTAACTCCCATATGGTAGAAAATTCTTCTGTTGAAAATAAAAGGATCTTGTGACTTTGTTCTTTTAGAAATAAGTAGGATTTCTAATTTAGTACACTTAAAAAAATCTCATATCAAAATTGTATTGAATTAGCTGAATTATTCCAGCAGATCGTCAGGTTGGGCACAATGAATTAAATGGCCTCCTATGTTATAATTTGAAGATTTAAAAATTGTCCCTTCTATTCAAATGCTGACCCCTTCATTTCTAAACCTTAGTGATCACCTTCCTCTTCAAAAGCTGTGAAGCTATCCATGTAGGCTACCATCCCATCTGAACTTCCTCATTCTCTTTTAAGGACTTTGAATATGCAGTCAGCCATCAAATCTGTAACTATCTGTCCTTGTCTAAATATTTTTGGAAAAGCTTTCCTCACACATCTTGTTCTTCCTGATGTTCTGCAGCTATTCACAGTGTCCACCACATCATCTTTCGATTTCTTTCCTTGTTTTTACTACTTTCCACTTCTATTTATCTGAGAATCGTGAAAGCGTCCTTCTTCCCAACCCATTCCCTGGTGAAATTCTAAGAATCCCACATGAATCTCCACCTGGTTTCTTTCTTTCATTCATCCTGTTCCAGACACTGTCGTTTGGCAATAACATCCACAGACATGAGGTAAAATTTTGATTTGTCAAACTTATTGCTATTGTGTTACAATGTGATGAAGATAACATTGAAGAGACTGGAGCAAAGCGGAGTATTTTTCTATTTGATAAAATTGAACTGATGATCTAGCAAGGCATGTCATGTCCTAATAAGATGTTGTTCAAATCTCATATTTCTTGCTCACTGCTTTTGTATTGTGCATGGAATCTTCCCCTTCCCTTGAAATTATTGCCATTCACAGTTCAATATTGATTCAAGAGCGCAACACTACCTGTACTTCAAATAATGGTGTGCTTTAATGAAATCCTGCTCATGATTAGCTATCCAGGGGGTCCCTGAGTCCATACAAGGGTTTAATTTTAAAGTTCTGACGTACGAACATTTCCTTATACTTACGAATGGCTACTTTATTTTGGCCTGCATTGTGTTCCAACTTGCGCACAGACTCGAGAATGGAACCTATTCGCAACCAGAGGATTGCCTATGTAAATGTTTATAAATTTAAGTTAAGCTAATAAAAAGCTCATAATTAACCTCAAAAAACAGATAACAATTTTCGTTTCTCAATCGAGTTGAACTTAACATCTCAATGAATTTAGGAGGGTTATCATCAAATTCAAAACCTTATAACCGGATTGGTTGGACCTGTATTTAAGTGTGCTCATTTTAAAATGTATATCAGAAAATATTTGGGGTAAAACTGGCCTATGCAGGCAGCATGAAACAGGCTCACAATGAATCAGTTGCTGTTTTTTTCACAAAGCCAATTTTTATGTTCCACATGTTTTTATTTGAAACCAAGTAGAATTGATGTTAAAACTCGGAAAATTGTCTTTAAAAAGAATTTGAACTGTTGCTGTGTGAACTTTAGTAGATAGACTGCGCATACTGAAAGATTGGTGATTTACTGTGAACTGGTTTTGCCTCAGTGATGTTGAACACTTGTACTTTCCTGTCTACTAACTTTGTATGACTGAAACTATTGCTTGAAGTTGTTATAGTTTAAACAGTCCACTTTTACCTCTATTTTAGGGAACCTTTCCGTTTTCACCATGAACACTTGCGTAAGATGATGGGCAATGTCCCAAATTTTATCGGACAAGACTTCGTACCAAATTCCCAACGGGGATCCTCAAGCCATCCAGCAACAAGGAATGAGGTATTATTTTAATAATTCTGTACTCTTGTTGACATTCAGAAATTTTGAGTTTTAGATAAATAGTATTTATAACTTGTAACACTAAATATCTGAAGAAGAAATAGTTTTACGTGTGTTTTTTTAAGAAAGATTTTTGTTCGATATAAATCTATATATACAGTGTCTCAAAAGGAGCAACCTTGGGACTGACTTTTTGATGGATTTTAGACTCTTGCTGGTTTTCAGGTTAGATCTTTGGGTTGGGTAGCGAATCAAAATTACGTTACAATTTTATTAGAATGTGTAAAATATTATATTAAAAAATAGTTTATTGGAAAGGACCCAAGGTAAAGGTAAAGTCACCGCAGTCGTACCAGACCATAGGACTGCTCTCTCATTACAGAGAGAGAGAGAATAGTGGTTTTAACTTGAGGGTCACCTCAGGCCTTGGGCAAGGGTAGAAGTTGAGAAAGAGAATCCTTCATGGTAACCTCAGCCTGTGTGGGAATTGGTATCACTCTGCATTGCAAACCAGCCATCAGCCAACTGAGCTGGTCCCAGGGTAAAAGTATGTGGAGGGAGAACTGAAGCCATCTTTTGTCAAAGATGATTGAATTTTGATTAGATGAGTGTTACAATCAGGGATAGCAAGCTAAACCAAATCAGCTTTACTGTCGCAACACAGTGAAATTAAAATATTCAGTCCCTCTCAAAGTTTGTGCAATTGTTCCCAACCAGATTCTGCGAATAATAGATCTTAGACACCAAGTTTATAGTGTAAACAAATATTAAAGATGTATTATTGATACTGTAACTATCAAAGCTAAACAACAAAGAAATCTAATTAATATCAATTATTTAAACACAATCTTCTAAGATATAAAGATAGCTGGAGGGACAGGTAGTGTGAGGAGTCAGGGAGGCTGCACAAGGACTTGTACAAGCTAGGATAGTGGACAAAAAAGTGGCAGATGGAATACAATGTGTAAAAGTATGAGGTTATGCACTTTGACTAGAAGCATAGACTGTTTTCTAAAGTGGGAAAGGCTTCGGAAATCTGAAACACAATGAGACTTAAGAGTCCTAGTTCTGGATTCTCTTAAGGTTAATGTGCAGGTTCAGTTGGCAGTTAAGGAGGCAAATGAAATGTAAACATTTATTTTGAGAAGGCTAGAACAGAAGAGTGAAAATGTAGCATTGAGGCTGTATAGGCTCCAGTCAGACCGCATTTGGAATATTGTGAGCAATTTTGAGCCCTATATCGAAAGAAGAATTTGCTGACGTTGGAGGAGTGCAGAGGAAGTTTTCATGAATGATCCCTGGGATGAAGGGCTTATCATAAATGAGGAGCAGTTGAGGACTCTGGGTCTGTAGTCAATCAAGTTTGAAAGGATGAGGAGGATTGCATTGAAACGTACAGAATACTAAAAAGCTAGATAGAGTGGATGCGGAAAAGATGTTTCCACTAGGAAAGACTTAGGAGAGACTGGGGCCCGAGGACTCAGCCTCAGAGTGAAGGGACAGCTCTTTCGTACTGAGATGAGGAATTCCTTCAGCCAGAGGGTGATGGATCTACAGAACTCATTGCCACAGAGGACTGTGGAGGTCAAGTCATTAAGTGTACTTAAGACAGAAATAGTTTCTTGATTAGTAAGAGGATTAAAGGTTATGCAGAGAAGGCAGGAAAATTGGGTTCAGGAACGTATCAGCCATGATCAAATGGTGGAGCAACCTCAATTTGCCAAATCGCCTAATTCTACTTCTTTGTCTTCTAGTTATATCATCTTTGCTCATAACCCCACTCTTATACAGACAGACAGACAGTAAGGGATAAATTAGAAAGAAAAATAAAGTAATTTTAATTTTCCCGTTCAATTAAACAATTTCAAATGATGGGTGCCAAGCCTTCGTACAGTCCTTGGATAATGGGTATTCGCAGCCAAATAAGTGTATGTCTAATTTCGAAGTCACCATTGAATGTTAGCAATTTCAGTAGACTTGCAGAATTATATGCTTATTTCTTACAGGCCGAGGTCCTTTTCTTAGAACATTCAATAATTCTTTAACAAGACAGAAAAGTAGAGAGAGCAAAACACAGCAGCCAGTCCTGAAGCTTCCAAAATCACCCTGTGCCCACCAAAATCTAGTCAGAACTCATTTTTCCCCTCCTTTTCTTTTTGGCAATGTTTGCTGACACTTACAACGTTAGGCAACTATCGATAGGCTCATTCGGGTGCGTGCATATGCTTGGTTCTAAACACAATACATTGTCAGATAGAATTTTAAGTGTGATGTCATACACAAAAACACTACCGTTCATCTACAGGGAAGCTCTTTAAATAAGTGCCATAGTATTTATGTGGCTGTCAAGTTAGCTTTCTGGGGCAACAACATTACTAATAAGGGTTCAGTTAAGGCAAGCCCATTGAATGTCGTGGGGAAATAATTGCACCATGTTTTGAGATTGTAGCACGAATGTTACTTTTCACTTATCGTTCCACATTGTTTTACAGTGTGACCCAAGGAATTGTGAATGGAACAAAATACTATTCATTGTCAGTGATGGTACAAATTTCTGACCTTACGTTGAAAGGAAGGGAGGTCATTGATAATGCAGCTGAAGATGTTTGGAGTTAGGTCATGCCCCAAGTAACTCTTTCCGTTATGGCTTCAGGCTGAGATGGCCAGATTGCAGAAAGCACAACCATCTTCCTTTGGGAATCATTGACTCCAGGCAGAGAAATTTTACAGTCCAGGGCTGCTTCATGCCAGGGTCAGTTAAATGCTGCTTGATATCAAGAGAATTATTTTTATTTTGACTCTGGAATTCTGCTTGTTTCTACCTGTTTAGACAAGTGGAGCTGAGTGTCAGGTGAAACCCAAACTGAGCAGCTGCGAACAGGTTATTGATAAGTAAGATATAGACAAGCTGTGTGGAGAGAGCCAGTTTTGATATAGAGCTCAGGGTGAATATTATGAATAAATCAATGCTGCCAAAAGCAGAAGTAGAAATTTAAAAGACAAGTGGTAACCTCCTTGATGCATGAACATTGGTAGGGACGCAAAGATGGAGCTGAACTTCCTGGAATTAAAATATCAAAAATGGCAAGTTATTAACTGGCATAAATGACATTTTGAGTAATACTGTGTGCAAACATTTACAATCATGGAAAGTGAGAGATTTTGGAAAAGACTGATGTTGTTAAAATGAGAAGTGATAGTTAGGGAACTGAGCTCCCAATAAGAAAATGAGAGTCTAACATTCAGTGGGCAGACAAAGAGATTGTAGCATTTTGTTTGGTCAGTTGGGCTGTCACATCAAGCTAGTGGAGTCCGCACAGTGCTCACATGACGTGATCCTCACTTCACCCTGAATTGCCCAGGGAAAGTTGAAGGCGTTTAACTGGTACAAATACTTTACCATATAAAATTGAACTCTATTCTATTTATAATTTACTTTTAGTGTTGTCCATATGTTATTTTATTCAGAAAAAACACAATTGCTGTGCTTAGTATTTCATTTGCTTTTCCTGTACTATTATAGGCTTCTTCCTGGACAGATCCTTTCGACAGGATGAGTACCATGATGGAACAAATCAGAAAAGAAATGTTCGACATGCAAAACACAAGTGTAAGTGCAATATAGACATAACCAACAGGAAATTCTTACTTTCCATAATTGTAGCAGTGTTTTTCATATTGCATAAACCACTGAACATGCAGTACAGGCTTCTAAAATTTTCTAATATGCTTTGCCAAGCTACACCTTCTAAAAACGTGTTTTTTTTTTGTCAATAGGGAATCCAACCTTCAAACCGCATTGGTCACTCTCTGAACAGCTCCAGTGTGATGACTTATGCAAAAGTGGGGAATGAACCTCCCAAAATATTCCAGGCTACCAATCATGTGCACCAAGTTCCTGGTGGAGTAAGTATTCAAATTCTTCAGTAAACCTCAGGCATTTGTCACAGTAGGCATATACATGACCATAAGAATTTTATAGTTTCACATGTCCAGACCATAACAGTAAACCCCAACAGTGATGCCCTGTGACTTTGGATAGCTGTAATCTACGACGTAAAATTTTCTTAAGATAACCCCTTTGGGAGAGGAAAAGTTACAATCCATTGTGTTCAACACATCAAATTATTTTAAATAGCATAATTAACACAATAAAATTCCCAATGCTTCACGAATGGTGCTTGATAGAGGAAGATGCGCCAAGATATTGGCAAAGAGGTCAGGATGTGACTGAAAGGCTTTAAAGGAGAAAAGTGAAGTACAGAAGTGCAGAAATTAAAGAATGAGATCCAGAAAGAAGGCCCAAAACTGAAGACTGTTTACCACTCCTGAGACAAAGGTAGAAGGTGAATGCAAAATAAGCTGGAGACACAGGACTGAAGTCTGCAACACAGATATATGGTTCGAGAAGGTTACAGAAATAAGATGAGAGAAGGAATGTATGGTAGAGATCAGGGCAGAACTTTCACAGCAATTTAAACGTGTGGGCATTATGAGAGTTGGAAGAATAGGGTAAGAATGAAAGAATAAGATTCTTGATTGAAGAATAAAAAGTCTGATTCTCCCCTTAAGATTTGAACATCTTCATGAAAATCTTGCTTGTAAGCAGCAAAGGGTCTATTTGCACGCATTAGCATCTCATTATTAGCTCATTTTGCCCTGTTTATGTGCTTTTTTTGGGGGTACCAGTGAGAAACTAGATGATGTCTATACCCAACTTGAAAGTCAGAGCCAGTTACTTGGCGACTGCAGCTTGCTTACATTATCTAAAGAGATCCGTCTCGGCCAGCATTCCTCAGCACCTCAGGACATGCTGCATGGACAGCAACCGTATGCACCTTGTCCACAGAAATTGGCATCACAAAAGCACCAGTCTCATCACATCATCATGGCATATGTTGGACTAATTTATAATACAGTTCAGTGCTTCAATATTACACTGTGGAGTTGTCTGACATCTTATGTGGCAATTCTGTGCCAGGCCATATTGTGGGCAGGGTAGACACCCGTTTCATGCATCAGAATAGGGTACATCTGAGGGCTCATATTGCTTTCTTAGCTCTTATACCAAGTTTTCACTTATTTAGATGCTCATAATCTCTACTTTGACTTACCTTTTTGCGCATCACTACTTCATTCAGAGCCAATAGACTCCCAGTAATTGTGTATTGCATGGCCTTTCAGCACAGAGAGATTTATTTTAGATTTATTTATTTGTCACATGTACTAAGTATAGAAACACATAAGGACATCGAAAAGTGCACAAAGTCACCATTCACTGGTGCCCACTTGGTTGCAAAATCCGGAATTAAAAGATTCAACAAAGCCAAAAGGTAAGCAAGAAAGAAACAGTCCAGATCTGAGTCTGAAGTCCCAGCTCCACAATGTTGCAGGCCATGCTCCAACCGCTAGGTCGCCGTCACCACCTCACTGGCCCATTCTCACCATCCTGCCCTCGCCGCCGATGTCGCTCTGGCCCACTGTCACTGTCCTGCCCTCACCGCCGACGTTGCTATGGCCCATGCTCGATCCGCCATTGCTGCAGGAGATGGCCCCCATGTTCAGCCTCCACCATGCGGTTCCCGGTCATGACCCGACTCCTCAGGTAGGTAGTTAAAAGGGCGAGGGTGGGGGCAATAGAATTACTGCAGAGAGGAGAGAGAAGAAGAAGAAAAATGAAAGGAAAAGGAAAGGGAACTGGTGAGCAGAGTGAAGCTCCAAAAGGAGTAACTTATCCTGTCGCCGAGTTACCGAAGAGAAGGAGATTCCAGCATCCACAGTAATATGCTCCTACATAGGCTGCTTGTCATGGCCTATCCTGTAGTGGAGCCTGTTGGCCCTAATGGTTTGGGCATTTGTTTCCTCCTCCATCTGGGTGCCTGCTGGCATCCACCTATGTCTGGAAGAGGCTGAAAGAAAGTGGCACCTGAAAATGAGGTCAGCTAAGCATCAATGGGGAAAGCAATGTGAGTGCCAGTCTGTTTGCGTTGCTAATAGCAACTGAGCATTCTGCTAGATGTGACTTTCCATGATAGTCACCAAACTGAACACACAGATAGCTGTAAGCACACGTGCCAGAGCCAGCATGATTCTGATAATATTGATGTATTATTCCAACCTTCAATCCAGTTAACCAAAGGTCTCCAACAAACCTCCGCACTACTCTTGTATCTATTTGTGCATTATCATCAAGTTATCAGTGGTCAGCACCATGGGATCCACTTACCTCTATGCTGATCAGATGCCTGGTCTCCAACAGACCTCTGAGTGCCAGCAACCAGGTCATTTATTCATTGGTCAGCTGTGAAGGCAGGGCACAGATGTGTTTACCAGAATATAGTTCCGAGTCTAATCTAGCTAATGTATCTACTGAGGTGAAAGTATCTGAGCTGATAGAGGGTGCAAGAGAAAGCCTTTCTGGTGTATCCACTGAACAATTTGTAGCTTCCTTCACAGTGGTGGAAAAAGAGCTACATCTGGCCGGATTCATTTCATACAGACTGAGGCTGTTGAGATGCTATTGGTGCTTGCTTCCAACTCCTACCTGTCAACAATATTGTGGTGTGGGCAAAATACAACATACAATTTGGATCACTTAGCTTATTAACAAGCTCAATTGTGCATTTTTAAGAAAAAATGGTGGGCAGTCTGTCGATTTTAGCACCCACTTACCATATTAGGGAGGCTCAGTCAAGGGTGGGTGGGCAGGTGGTGGACTAGCCACATGATATATTTTATGTGCCCCTCCCCACTGGAGGCCACCAGCGGAGGCCTGTAAAATCCAATCACCTGTCTCTCATCAATTAACACTTTTTGGACGAGATGGATCCCCCACTGACTCCTCAGATTGTGTGGTTGGGAAAGCTCACTATCTGAAAAATCCTGCTATTAGATTCAGTCACTAATCTATGCTAAGTTGATCTTAATTTAATAATCATTTGGTATGTTGCAACTCGCTATAACACCTCTGAATTCTAGCTGGTGATTATTGCTGGGTTCATGGGTATTACCTTAAGTCAAATGAAACCATCTTGATTATGATGCTGTCCATTGGAAACATTATCCTGTTTAAAGCATTATTTAATTTTTGTTCTTAGTTGATATTTACCGTGCTTTCCCATACGAGTCACATTTTGAAAAGAAAATGATTAAGCAACATTTGGAGGACAATTTTCCATTCAATGCCTTCTGATTTTGGGAACAAATGTGGAAGCAGCATTAGGTAAACTAAAAAGAAGTTGCTGACTTGGCACGATCAGTTTTAATGAATGGACATGCCTCAAAGTGTCCAACTAGTGCTCCCGTGGCAATTTCATTAACTTACTGAAATAAGGACCAAATTCAGATATTGAAGCAATTTTGGTACAAATCTGCACTGCGACATTGTTGCCAAATCTGTCCAACAACTTATGTATGGCCCAGATTGGCTTATGACCATTTACATCTCAACTGAGAAGAATCATTAATTGCAGTAGGGTAAAGCTGGAAGCAAATCTGACTAGTCATTAAGTGAAACACTTTGCTGTTGATTTTCTCTTTACACTTCCATACAATTTTAAATTTGCTCTCTGCTTACCTACCAGACTGTCATCTTAGCACCTAAAATGACTATTGCTTTACCCAAATTGCCTTGCGTCTTCACTTTCCTGCTCACTAACTTGATCTGTCATGTTGGCCTCTTGGTTCTCCTTCATGGTCAAAATGTTTTATCTCCTCCAAATTGAAAATCAACTGCCTTCCAGATCAAGGTACTCATCTCCAATTTTGCCAGAGTATTTGTAATGTCAATAACTCAATTTTTAAAATTGACAGGTGGCCAATCTGATTTTTAGAGTTGGTTGGTCAGTCCAAACATTTAACATGTAGAGGTTGGGAATTCCATAGTACCAGTGAGGGAGCTGAGTCTGTATAGGCAGGATAGGTTGTACATGAACAAAGTCAAATTCAATGTCCTGTTGGGTAATTTGCTCGTGCTACTAGTGAGGATTTAAACTAACTTGGCTGGGGTGTAAGAACCAGATGTAATATTTGAAAAGAAAAACAAGGAGCTCCAGGAACTGGGAAAGACGCAATGTATGGAAATATATTTGATGGGGTTAGGGTAAGAGGAAATGTAATCAAATCTAAATTAAGTTTACTATATAGCTGTGTGGATAGGTGGTGTGTGGCGAATCAGATTGGTGGCTTTCAGGAAATATGTGATTGTGGCAATAATTGAGACCTGAATAGAAGAAAACAGTCTGCATACTTAGTATCATAGATGCAATATGTTCAGGAAATTTGGAGAAATGAGGAGCAGCAGTATCAATTAAGGCAAACATGACAGTGCTGGAGTGAGAAAGTGTGATTTCCGAAAGGGGACAAGGACAGAATTCATTTGATTAGAGCTCAAACAACAGCTGAGATATAATTTCTTGGTTGTAGACTGTAGTCCACTGACAAGTTAGAATTGGTAGAGGAACAAATTAGCCAAGTTTTTTTTTCTTTATTAATTAACGGAATGAGGGCGTCGCTGGCCAGGCAGCATTTATTGCCCATCCTTAATTGCCCAGAGGGCAATTCAGAATCACTCACGTTACTGTAGGTCTGGAGTCACTTGTAGGCCAGACCAGGTAAGGATGGCAGTTGCCTTCCCTAAAGGACATTAGTGAACCAGATGGGTTTTTCCGAAAATCAACAGTAGATTCATGGTCGTCATTAGATTCTTAATTCCAGATATTTTATTAAATTCAAATTCCACCATCTGCCTTGGCGGAATTTGAACCCGGGTCTCCAGAATGTTATCTGGGTCTCTAAATTAACAGTCCAGCGATTATACCACTAGGCCATTGCCTCCCCTGTAATTACAGACAGGTGGAAGAATTACAGAGATGTTGTAATGGGGGACTTTAATTATCAGCAATAGTGTAAAAGGTAGGGAAAGGCAAGAATTTCTGAAATGTGTTCAGGAGAGGTTTCTAATTGGTACATTTTCAGTTCCACAAAGAAGATCCATTGCTGGATCTCGTTCTGGGAAATGAAATGATCAAAAGAATCATGGTTTAGAAGGGGAACATTTACTTAAAAGTGATCATTCTGTCCTAACGTTCAGGTCAGTATGAAAAAGGGTGTAAAACAGACCCATGTTAAATTAATTAACTGGTGGAAGTTCAACTTCAGTGGCCTGTGCACGCATCTGATTTCATAAATTTGAATCAAAAATTGGCAGGCAAAACTATGACAGAACTATCGTCTGCCTTTGAAGTGGAGATAATTCAAGTACAGACAAGATGCATTCCCACGAGGGGGAAAGTGGAACCAACAAATCCAGATTCTGATGATGAAAAGTTGGAAAGTGAAAGCTTTCAGTTGAATGAAAGCAAAAGGTTGCATGCTGACAAATGTTAGATGAATAACATAAGTGAGAACTGGGTAGAATGTAGAGGGTTCTGCAGACAGGTAATAGAACAAATAAGAGAAGCAAAAAGCCAAAATGAAATGAATCCAGTGGCTAATGAAGGGAATCCAAAAGTCTTCTATGGGGATTAAATTGTTGTAAAGGAATGGTAAGAAGAGTAAAGCTGACCAGAGATCCAAAAATGGATTTACAAATTAAGATGGGGCCTGGCTGAGATACTAACCATGTTTATTAGGTGGAACATGCTACCCAACTCTAGGATAGGAGGAGATAATTAAGACAGTATTCGGGTTAAAAATTTACAAAGAGAGGTATTATGTCAGCACTTAATTCAGTGGAGGAGATGCATCCAAAGTTTCTGACGAAAGTATGTTGATGCACTGGCCATAATGTTCTGATACTCCTCAGATGTACAATGGTGTCTGAGAACTCTACAATTTACAGTCTTGTTTAGCAAAGTGTGTGAGAATGAACTCAAGAACTTTAAGCCCTTTACATTAAATTCAATGGTGGAAGAATTTTTAGAAATGATAATTTTGTTCCGAATTAACAGTCCCTTGAACAAATGTGCATCAGTTAAGGAAAGCCAGAATGGATTTGTGAAGGGTAAATAATGTTTAACTAACTTGCTTGAATTTTTGATCAGAGGGCTGATGATGGCGATGTGGTTCATATAATGTAAATGTGTTTCCAAACAACATTTGATGCAGTGCCATGTGCAGTCTTGTCAATAAAATTAGCACCTATGAAATAAGCATTAAAAGTGTAGCAGCAGCAATGCAAATTTAGCTGAGTGACAGGAAGCAGAGTACAATGGTATATGATATATGGCACAAATCATTAATGGTGATGGGGGTGCAAGAAAGTAATTAATGAAACATTCAGAATCCTATGTTTTGTAAGTAGGGGCATGGAGTACAAGAGGAAGTATTTACTGAGAAAACAATTATTTGTAGCATAAAGTTGTTTTGTAGGTATCAATGGAATAATTAACAACATATGAATTTTATAGATCAAAGAGACAAGACGAGCAGTAAAAGACTCTGAAAGTGGAATTGAAAAGATGTCAATTGGTCATCACATTCAAGACCGTGCTCATGTAATTCAAAAATCCAGAAACCAGAGAACAGGCTATGAAGAAATTGATCAGCAATTTATCAACCTAAATGAAAGTGAGGCAACAGTATTTTGTTTGGTTCATTTCAAAAGATGCCATTAAATAATATGAAGGTGTCAATATATATGCAAAGGAATAAATGCTGCATGTATTGTTTTTATGTTATGATTATTTTCAGAAGTCAGTCTTTTAGCCAAGATCTGTTCTTTGTAAATATACCTTTTTAATTTTCACTTAATGTGAATTTGGATTATCTGTCAGGATAAGATAGACTATTGAAGCTCTATAAAGACAAACCTAGTAATTATGCTGGCATCAGACTTCCATTGTGAGGTTCCACTGCTAACCCCACATAAGTTTCCATGATCTAATGGAGTGGCCTGGAAATCCAGGCCTTCAACCATTTAGAAGTGAAGATAGAACAGCTTCAAAATCTTGAAAATAAATCTTACTTCTCTTTTCTTCAGGGATCCATGAACCTGGATCCTCAAGTGATCCCCACATGCATTCTATGGTTCTCGCTGAGAAAGAACATTGCTGCATTAACACAACCTTGTGTCTCAACTGAGGCTGGAATGAGGGACCTAAGCATCCAAGGCTCACATCCTTCACATCGCAGGCCTTGTAAAGAATAGTCAAAAACTCGACCACTTTTTAAGGCTGATAAGGAGACTTTTGGACCTGGCATATCAGAGTCCTGGCTGAGTTTGTGACCATTCCGTAAGATTTAACAAAGTTACAGTAGCAAGTAACCACTATGTAAACAAAAAGTTTCTCATCTGTAGTTAAAAGTCCCATTTGTTGCTGATTGGTCACAAACTAGGTAACAAGTTTTTAATTTTACTATCAGATCCCTTACAATGTTAGTTTTCCTAAGTCAAAGGATATTTTATAATAGTAGCTTTATAAATATCATTCAGTGCTAAAACCAATGTTATATGTTACTTTGCAGTTGCATTATTAAGTATTCTGAAAATTTTGCTGGACCTTAGAAGGTTTAAAGGAATGTCCCTTATTTTTTGCCTTATGTGTGTGTGTTTTTTTGTCACATATTACCAGTTTTAAAGTTGACATGATATTTTGAGATGATATTGGAGATCAGGAATCCATGTGAAAATAGTTATAGAAAAATAAGATATGATTTCAAACTGTCCCAGTGGAGTTTGGATGCCCTCACCAGCTGCTACATAGAGCACTGGATAGTATGTAACTGCTGTCCGAGCTGTTAGTGCCATTAACTCTTCTATCTGGAGCCATTTGAGCTACACCTGTGTGCATCTGTATGTTCTACCTTGAATCCTGATGACTACTGCCATTTGAATACCTCCAGGAGCTGAAAATGCCTTTTTACTCCTTCCTTCTATCAGTACTATGCATTTTGTTATGCTTTCATGTTTCTAAGACATAAGCCTTAAAATTATACAAATGATGGTGTCTTCATTTTGAAGTAGGGATTAGGTAGTTGCCAGTAAAACCAAAAATAAACACTTTAATGGAGGTCATGATGTTGGCGGGGGGTGGGGGCATGTGCGTGGTGTGTAGGAAAGTGGACTGGTTAAAGCATGACAGTAGAAAGACATGAGCAATAACAGGTTGGAGCTTGCAAGCGATGGCAATTTGTGGCAGAGATGATGAGTTGCAGTCGGCAGCGGCTTTGCTCAAGATGAGGCAAGCTCTCTGCATCTCTTGGCTGACAGAGTACTAGCATAAATACATCAAGATGTTTCATCTCTTGAGGAAGAGATACTGCCATGCCAAATAACATTGAAAATGGTAACAGATGTGCATGTGACAGGCTTGGAATGTTACCAATTGTTAGTCTTCAATTTCATTCTTTCCAACCATTGTGGAGGGATGAATATTGACCTGCATCTGTCCGCAGTGTAGAGAAAAGATGCCGGCAATCACCTTTGCAGCATGATGGGAACATCCAGATCTGGGAACACTGTTTTTGCAATTTTCTAAGACATTTTCGAAAAACGTTACGCCACATTAGTGATGTTGTTTGAGCAAATGCATAGTGGAAATATATAGATCAAGGTATCATGTCAGTGCTGTCACTGTGAGCTCACAGTTTCAGCCATCATCTTACTGAAGCTCACACAACTGAATGTGTATGACGCTGCAGCACGAAACCACTACTGGCACTATTTAAAGGAGTTACCCACCATTTACTTTCTCGTGGCTGATTGATTTCTTCTGGCTATTGCTACCGTTCTATATGGTTTTGATGCCTTCCATCGTTGCAGGTTTCAAAAATCTATAGGGACTGGTGTGATAGATGTTACAGTATTCTTTGCTGACTTCATGTCTGGGTGAAATTGATTCATACAGAAGTGAAGTGCACACTAGTCACCCTGCCTCTTGGAATTGAACATGTCTTGCAGAATGAACAAAAGGTCTCAAATAGCAGAACAAGCTACTTGAAAAGTAGGAGTAGGGGTGAAAGACTTTTAGTGGTGGTCATATCTATACAGGTTATGAGCAATTTTCCCACCTTATCGGTGAGCACTTGTGAGACGTGGCCATGATGTGACCACAAGGCAACTGGCTTTTCTGTGCCAGTGCTTTAAGTATTTGTGACATCTCATGATTTTCAGTTCAGTATTGTTAATTTCATATTGTTCCCATGCCAGACAAAGGCAAGCAGAGTGAGCATAAATGTTAGTTCGGATTGCATGCTTTTCCATAAAGCAAGCTGCCATTGACCAAATGCATATTCTTTGCAGGCATTGCACATCAGTCCTGTGCTGGAACTGATGTGTAATCAAAGGCAGTAAGTCATGCAGACCAATAACCTTTATTCTGACAGTTCTCATGATTTCTTCATTCTGTGGCAGTTTGCTATGCCCAAAGTTCAAAGATGACAGCAAACCAAACTATGGCTTCTGGACAGGAAGAACTATTTGCTCATAAGGTGTCAACCTTTCTTGTTAATTCACTGCCAGCCAATTAAAACAGCCTGGTGTGATATCTCAACATCAATCACAAAAGGAGCCATTAAAAATTCAAGTAACCTTTAGCTAACACTGGTCCTTAAAGGCTTTTGGTCAAGGGGTAGGGACACTACCACTGCGCCACAGGAGGGCCACTGCTGTAGTACTGAACCGAGCCACGAAAGGCCATCACCTGCATCCCATTAAAATCAAAATAAAGGAACCCGCATTTCCTCAAAACCTGTTCTGCTCAGTGCACCTATGAGAGAAACCTCCAATTACAGAAATCATTGCAGGTGCTAAATTATGATTTCAAGTTTTCAATCTGTTCTTCTGAGAAAGAAAAATCCACAGGCCTGCAATGTAACAGGCCAATCTTATTTTCATCCTTATATCTATCTTATCTGCACCTACTTTAAACCTTTGTACCTATATTTTTATCTAATAACTATCATTTATTTTACTTAGTAACTTACAGCAATAATTGTGTAATAAATCAAAGATTAGTTTAAATTTGAAACTAAAACTTTTACTGCTGGTTATTTCTAAAATTTGGCCATTCAAAAAACTGAGTGAGATTAGTACAAGCTATAACAATTTGCTGTTCACTAACTACTCTGCGGGCACACCTGGTGAAATCGCAACATAAGCGATTGTGAAATCAGGAAGAAAGCCACGAGGAGGAATAGCTGTGAAGATACTCAATGTTTTACCCTTGCCACTGGCCTCAGTACTATTTTCTTAATGAACTTAATCGGTATCTCTCTTCCCTCCAGTTACTTCCTGCCATTATTTGTGCATCACCTTCTGCAAATGAGATGGATCTATGTCAATCAGTGCAGTGTAATGTGTTTGGAAGATTTGCTTATCATGTTGACTAGCTAGCAAGCTAAGAGATATGAGGTTTGCAACAGTGCCAAGTGTATGAGGGTAAGGTTAAGCAAATGTAAGCAGGAATGATTAATGGTAGCTGGATGATAGAGGTGTGGTGATTTGGTGGTCACTGAAGCTGTTAAGTGGTACTTTTGGTAGGAGTCACAATTTGAAGGTGTGCATCATAAGTGCAACCACATGTAACACCTTTGCCCTGTGTAAATCCATCCTAGACAACTTCTGAATTGCATCTGAATTGTCCCTTTAAATAGTGAACTTCGGTCCAATTCAAGTAGATGCCCATCACTATGCAAGTTGGAGATGCATACATATCCAGAAAAAAAAGTAAGGATTCAGTTGGGAGAATTTAGACAAGGTAACCCTCTCACTTTACTCCCAAGTTTTACTCACACTGTTACCCTTCCACATGGAACACACCTTTGGACCAACTTTAGGGCCATAATTTTTCAGTATTCTGTTGCTGAGATGCCCCTGTGATAACTTATTGCCTGGTTTTATCAAAGAGAAAGTACACACACCACTTGGATCTATGGTTTAGAAGGTCTTAGTATTGTGAAGCTATAAGTTTGCAACATGCATGTGCTTGCACCAAAGTTGACAGTGCATAGTCCTGTGTATCCTTCTGGGGATGTGGCTATTCAGCAGCTAAGGCTCTGTAAAATGAACACTGCAGTATTGTGAGCACCTATGGGAAGAAGAAGTTTTAATTGAAAGGCTTTATGCTAGAAGTGAATAGTTCATTGTTGATATATTGCATAATCATGATCTAATGTTTCAGATCCTACCACTTGCCTAGATCATTAAATTTCTTGCAACACTATAGCTGTTATTTTATGAGCGGAGCTGCGTACATGCATGGAGTAATCATTTCCTTTCCAAGTTCTGCATCTCATGATCCACACTTCAGAAGTAATGTATCTTTCCTGAGCTGTTTTCCCTTGGACAATTGCCAGACATCTCTTCAGTGCGCTTTCAAATCAACAATTTCATTTCAACCCCATGTTCATCATACATTCATAACTTACGAGTCATAACACCAAATCAGAAAATACGAGTGACTTCAGATTTACCTCTGAAATATGCCCAGGTAGCACTCACTATTTGACTTGAGCTTGAGTATGTGTACCTTGGAAGGGTGAGGGAAAATTCATACGTATTTTCTAACTAACTTTGTTGTTTTGTTTTCTTAAAACAACAGTTGACGCAGCAAATTTTGACCAAGAATGGCTGAATAAGGTGTCAAAGTATATGCCTTCTGGAACTTGTCCCTCTAGCATTCATGATGCAGGAAAAACCAAGGAAGGGCAAAGGTACGGCTGAGTACTGAGTGGAATTTAAAATGCGTTAGGAGTTTGACCTGTATGGATAAGAGTTAGACATAGACATTTTGCAGCTTTAAGGTTGAATCATCAATCTGAATGAACCAAACTAAGGATCAAGAAAATCTACCACCTCCTTCCATGAGAGCTTCTACCATATTTTGTTTCCACTTGATAGAACTGTTCATAATGCTGCTCCCACGCATTTGTTTTGCTTGAAAAATGCATGAAACTTTGCATACTTAAAACTAGTGCATGCACAAAATAATTAAAGGTCTAGAGGGTAATGGGGAAGAAATTCGGTCACATTACACAAGGCTGTGGTTAGACTTCTGTACAATTTGGACACTCACCTTAGAAAGGATACATTGGACAGGGAAGAAGTGAAGCACAGGTGAGCAGAATGTTATCACACTCCAAAAATTGCATGCCTTGTTCATATAATATCTATTCATTATCTAGAAGATTGAAGGATAGGAGGTGGTTTTATTGAGGATCTTTTGGAACTTTGAAATGTCACTAATTGTTGGTGCCCTAGATTTGGGAATAAGTGATCCCACAAAGAGGATTTCTGTTATGCTTGGCTTTATGTTTTGTATTCTGTTGCTTCAAAACAATCTTTTGCATGTGCCTTTGGAAAAGAGTTCTTTTAAAACAGATTGAGGCAAGCCTGGGCAGATTTTCAGGTATTACCATTTGAAACTTTGAGCCTTTTATTTGAGAAAGTGCTACCTACTTGGTTGTTTTTAGTGAACGCTAGGGCTGAATTTCCACAAATATTGATGAATATCTTCAGTATGAAGATGGGTTTCCTCTCTACGAAGACAGTGCAAAGTCACTCTTCCCAATACTATCATCAGCAGAGGCATTTTTGAAACGTAGATTTTTGAGGTTGCAATTATGTTGATTCTGTCATCTTCTAATGCAGGCCCAGTCTAGCAGATTTGTCCTTCAGGACTTGATTAGCTGGATCAAAAATGGTGCGACCAAGCCATTTTTGGTGATGGGTCTTAAAGTTATCTGTAAAGCATTCTGTGTCTCCGCTATCCTCAGTGCTACTTCAAAGTGGTGTTTAACATGGAGGAGTGCTGATTTGTCAGATGAAGAAGGGTGTTAGGTAATATTCACCAACAGGTTTTCTTGTCCCTGTTTGATCTGAAACCTTGAGAATTCATGGAGTCCAAAATCAATGACTTTGTGACTTTATACTACTGTGCCTTAGTATGGGTCTGTCTTGCCAGTCATGTAGGACATACCTACGGATAATGGTGGAGAAGTCTAGGATACAATTCAATGATACTATGAGTATGACTGTACCAGGCTATTACTTGATTAGTCTGTGGGACAGCTATCTTAATATTGGCACAAGATTCTAAATGTTAGTGAAGAAGACTTTTCAGGGTCTGTGGGCAATGCCTTTATCACACCTGATGCCTTGGTAGATACCAGTGGTTTGGCCAATTGTATTCTTTTTCAAGTTTTACTGAGTGACTTGTTAGGCCATTTGAAATGGCAGGCAAGACTCAACTACATTGCTGTACATCTAGAATGGCATTTACGGTTGAACAGATGTTTTTCCTCTCCAAAGGATAAGAGTGAACCCGAAGGATTTTGTATGACAATCCTGTAGTTTCATGGTTACCATTCCTGAGACCAAGTTTTCCAGGTTTATTTAATTGAATTTAAATTTCCCACACTGCTGTGGCAGGATTTAAATGCATGTCTGTTGAAAATTAGTGCAGGTCTCTGTTCAGCTCCTTTTTACCTTTGGCTTTTCTATCCTCCTTGGTCCCTAATGCCCTGCACTGCATTGCATTTGATTATTCTGCAAAGAAATAGCGACAATAGAATCTAATGTGAAAAAAATGCAAAAAATGCAAGTTGGCCACTTTCTCAAGATGAATAGCAAAACAGAACATTATTTAAATGGATGTCTGTTGTGCCTGAATCACAGAAAGTTAACATGCAGATACTTCAAGCTTTGATGACTAATGCACTCTGGTTTTATTTTTCCTCCTTTCTTTGTGGAAATCCATGTTGTTGGGATTGTCATCAGCTTCAATGTTTTCTCTACCACAAAGAATTGTGGTCACCCAAGCTGTGTCATGATGTTGAGGGTAAGATGACAAAGAAAAGCTCTTCCATGGTAATTTCTGAAGGATTTCCTTGTTTTCTTTTTGAACTTTGGAGTCTTTTTTTCAGGCGTGCTGTACTGTTGTGGACAAACCAAGATTCTTGTATGTGTAGCCAAGGCAGAAATCTGCGAGAGTCAATGCTGAGTTTGTTAAAAGCCATAAAGGCTTAATTTTGACAAAGTTGCATTTATATCGCACCTTTAAGACAATGGAATATCCTAAGGTGCTTGATCAGAATAATAGCAGATCAAATTTGATGCCTGGCATCATAGCAGCATGTTAGGACAAGGAACAAAAACATTGATCAAGGATAGTAGGAACTGCCGATGCTAGAGAATCTGAGATAACAAGGTGTAGAGCTGGATGAACACAGCAGGCCAAGCAGCATCAGAGGAGCAGGAAGCTGACGTTTCGGGTCTGGACCCTTCTTCAGAAATCAAGGAGGTTGTTTTTAAGTATGGCTTAAAGGAGGAAAGATGCAAAAAAATGGAAAACTTTAGGGGGAAATTATACCCTAGGCAAAGAAATAAAAATGAAGCAATTGAAATGAGAAGAAAAAAAGAAAATTAAACAACGAATGCACATGAACCCAGAACTGGAGTACCACCAATATCTCAGTGAGATATAGGGCCGAAGTAAGTTACAAAGATAGAGTGGGGTGTGATCATGGAGTGATGTGAATACCAGGATGAGAACTTTGTATCATCAGCACAAAAATCGGTACTCCCATTTAGCTTCACATCCACTGTCTGGATTTTTATGAATGCCTCTAAGCACTATATATCTTCTTGGTGCTCCACGAATTTGAGTTAAGAAGAAACAAGAAATGGGGATTAGGCCGACTACATCTGGCTCAGTTTGGGTGATTGTGACTTCACCACCCTGCTTTCTCACTACATAATTTGATTTTTGTTTTGCTCGTAAATGAATCCATTTGCTTCATGAAAGTATTTGTACCATTCCCTTAAAGAGCAACCTGTGTCAAAACATTACTTTGTGTAAAATGTTTCAACTTCTATTCTAACTCCTTTTTAAAATAAGAACAGAAAATGCTGGAAACACTTAAGCAGAGATAGTGACATCTGAGAAGAGAGAAACAGATTTAACATGTCAGGTTGATAATCTTTTACTAGAGCTAAAAGATGTTAGAGATGACAGCTTTTAAACATTTTAACTTATATGTCATGTCATTTGAGCCTTTCACCACTGCAAATTAGACCATTTTTGCACATAATTTTCAAGTGGGAGTCTTAAATGAAATTCCTGAAACCTCTTGTTGCTAGCCTCTGTGGCCTATAATGAGCAATAATATTGTTTGTATGATTCTTGGACAGAACTCTACTCCAGAGGCATGATCCAGTGTCTGAGAGAGCAATACTGGAATCTCTGTTAATTTGTCCTCCAACTTTCTCTTTGTATCAAATTGATCTTATTCATTCTTGTATTGCTCCAGCTAAATCACATCTAAACTTTTATATTCTTTTAATTGTGAGGATGCAAACCAATCACAAACTCCAGACTAGTTTGACTTTCAGGTTTCTGATGTGTTGAACAATGAAACTATTTAGAAATATATTTTGTTCAACTTCTTATGTGAACAATTTTCATTAATCATCAATTAAGACAGGGAGTGGTGATTGAGGGTTGCTTTTTGGACTGGAGGCCTGTGACTAGCGGTGTGCCGCCGGCATCGGTGCTGGGTCCAATGCTTATCACCATTTATGTTAATGATTTGGATGTGAATATAGGAGGTATGGTTAGTAAGTTTCCAAATTACACCCAAATTGGTCGTGTGTGGATAGTTAAGAAGGTTATCTCAGTACAAAGGCACCTTAATCAGATGGGCCAGTGGTCTGACAAGTGGCAGATGGAGTTTAATTTAAGTAAATGTGAGGTATTACATTTTGGTAAGGCAATCCAGAACAGGACTTATACACTTAAAGGTAAGGTCCTGAGGAGTGTTGCCGAATAAAGAGGCCTTGAGGTGCAAGTGCATAGGTCCTTGAAAGAGGAGTCACAGGTAGATAGGTGAAGAAGATGTTTGGCATGCTTGCCTTCATTGGTCAGTACATTGAGTAAAGAAGTTGGACATGATGTTGCGACTGTACAGGACATTGGTGAAGCCACTTTTGGAATGCTGTGTTCAATTCTGGTCACCCTGCTGTAGAAAAGATGTTGTTAAACTTGAAAGGGTTTATAAAAGATTTACAAGGACGTTGCTGGGATTGGAGCGTTTGAGCTATAGTGAGAGATTGAATAGGCTGGGGCTTTCTTCCCAAGAGTGTCAGAGGCTGAGGGGCGACCTTATAGACATTTATAACATCATGAGAGGCATGGACAGGATAATCAAAGTCTTTTTCCCAGGGTAGGGAATTCCATAACTAGAGGGCATAGGTTTAAGATGAGAGGGGAAAGATTTAAAAGGGACCTGAAGGGCAACATTTTCATGCAGAGGGTGGTGTGTGTATGGAATGAGCTTCCAGAGGAGGTCGTGGAAGTGGATACAATTACAATATTTAAAAAAGTCATTTGGATGAGTACATGAATGGGAGTGGTTTAGAAGGTATATGGACCAAATTTTGGCAAATGAGATGAGATCCCATTAGGATATCTGGTCGGCACAGACAAGTTGGACTGAAAAGTCTCCTTCCATGCTGTATAACTCGATGACTCTAAGTACTTGTAGGACAAAACTTTGCATGATGAATGTTGATGTTATATTGCACATAACCAGCAACCTCCTAGCTTAGTCAATTTCAAAGCTCAAATTTGCAATTTGATGGTTATTCATATTGTTTCCCTTCCCCTGCCAATGATAATAGGCCACGCTATGACCATCACCAAGAAGAGACAATCTAAACACTGCTCCTTGACATTCAATGGTGCTTCCATAACTGAATCTCCCACTGTCAACATGCTGGGGGTTACATTGACCAGAAATTCAACTGGACTCACCACATAAACATAGTGGTTACACGAACAGGCCAGAGGCTAGGAATACTGTGTGAAGTAACTCACTTCCTGATTCCCCAAAACCTGATCCATCATCTACAATGCACAAGTCAGGAGTGTAATGGAATACACCTCACTTGTTTGGATGAGTGCAGCTCCAACAACACTCAAGAAGCTTGACACCATCCAGGAAAAAACAGCCTGCTTTATTGACACTACATCCACAAGTGTTCACTTCCTCCACCACTGATGCTCAGTAGGAGCAGTGTGTGGTGTCTACAAGATGCACTGCAGAAATTCACTCAAGATCCTCAGGCAGCACCTTCCAAACGCACGACCACTACCATTTGGAAGGACAAGGGCAGCCAATACATGAGAGCACCAACACCTGCAAATTCCCCTTCCTCCAAGCCACTCACCATCCTGACTTGAAAGTATCTCACTATCCTTCACTGCTGCTGTGTCAAAATCCTGGAATTCCCTCCTTAATGGCATTGTGGGTCAAGGACAACTAGGGATGGGCAATAAATGCTGGCCGCCAGTGACACCCACTCCCCACAATGAATTTTAAAAAAAAATTCTGTACCATACATGCAAGAGCACATAACAGATACTGTTATCCACCATTTCAGCTGGTTGCTGCTAATTAACTCAATTTTGACCAATAACAAAAGCTCCATTGGGTACACATCTTGGGCAAATAAATTTAGGTTATTCATCCAATTAAAAATCTTATGGCTGAAGAAGCCAGAGAAGAAACAATAGTGGTTTACACGTTATAAAAGTGATGAGTTTATTGCAAACTTCCCTTCAACTCTACAAAAATTATTGACTGGAGTTTTGGTACTTCGAAGTTTACAATGAAATGTATTATTTTGTATCTGCAGTAATCCTTCAATAGATTAAGATTCAGCAAAATTTGTTGTTATGTAAAACTGATGACAACTTTCTAGCATGTACATGTACATTTAAATGCGAAATTCATAGGTTTGTGTCACTGATACCCTTCTCCATAACATAGGCTGTGTCAGACTTTATTGATTAAATCAATCAGAAATTGATGTATTTCATTTCAAGAACCGATGGAAAAAGTTAAATCTGATTCAGTCTGAGTTTTTAATGGCATTCTTGCTTAGCAACCTCTTTGACTCTAAAAATGAAGTTAGGAGTATGAGTCTCATTCCCTTAAAAGATTTAAAAATGTAATTTTAATAATATATATTTAAACGTTTTTATTCTGATAATTACACATTGGGTTAGAGAAGTACATGTCCCAAACATTATTATATAATACTAGTGCTTCACTGCTGTTCTCAAATTCTATGCCAATGTCATGTATCCATATAAGCTAAGCAATAATTGTGTATTCTGATTGAAATTATGCAGGATAGAGACCCCAAGTTTTAAACTTCTGTACTGTAAATGATAAGCTCTCATTGCTGTAAGTTTCTGATAACTGAAGTAGAAGAACTATTCTTATTGCCAGTATATTCAAAAACTTCACAGCAATGAAAATTGTTTGTACACCGTTAATGTTACAATTTAAGTAATAATATAATGGAATTTTGCATTGTAGCACAACATGTGCCAAAGGACCGACTGCTCCACTCCCTGTTACTCCCTCTGGTGGTTGTGGCTGTCCTGCTAAGAATTCTCCTCAACGAAACTTTAATGGACAGCATATGATGAAACATGGAAGAAAATGAACCTCACACTGAAACTACGTGGCTCTTCATTATGTGACTTGGGCCATTTTTTGTTTGTTTGCTATTACTAAGGCTGTGCTTTTTGAGTTGTGGTTTCGTTCCCGTAGAATACTTCAGTTCATTTTTAGCTTTTGGCTAAACCTGCACAACCAGCACTTATTTTTTTTTTTGTCATCAGTAGTGTGCAACAAATAAAGGGAATGCATTTTATGGAAGTTTATAGTCAATATCTATTTACTCAAAATTGACACTCAATATAGAAATACAGGTGAAGATTTTGATTTAATTTAATAATATTGAATCAAAATACTGGGCTTAATTTTCATTGGTGATGTACAACAAGTGGGCACTGATAGGGTAATTACTAATTCTACTTGATGACATTGGTGGGAGGTACAATGTTTTGGGGGTATGTAGCCTGATTTACGTCAGTCAAGAATTTAAGTGACTCAACTTTAAAAATATTTAACAACGCTGCCTTCACTCCTCTCTGGAATAGAGAATTCCACAGACTAACAACCGTCTGTGAGGAAAAAAATCTCATCGCCATCTTAATTCGAAGAACTCTTAGTTTTAAATTGCGCCCTGATCCTAGCCCTAGCCCCTCCCATAAGGGGAAGCTTCTTTTCAGCATTTGCCCTGTCAGGTCACTTCAGGATATTGCATGTTTTAAGATGATGACTTTTCATTCTTCTACATGCCCAACCAACCCAACTGGATTCCCACCCAAAGCGAAGCTAATTGGTAGCCTTGTCTTCTTGTCAGGTGAGGAGCCTGCAGTGGGAGCCACAGGTAGACTTCCTGTTCGGGGGCATAGTTTCTCAGGTGGAGTTGGGGGGGTGGGGGAGAGAGAGCGGAGGCGGGGCAGAGTGGAATAAGTGGTTTGGAGGGATGGGAGAAGATCAAGAAGCAGTGTCAGAGTCACTGTGTGGGAAGACGTCGTTGATTATGATGAGGGGTGTGAGTAATGATATTGAGGTGAGGGATCTAATCAAATGGGGAAGGAACCAGGTTATCTTGGTGCTTGGGAGAAATCACCCTAGACCCTCAAACAGTGCTGAAGGGCCCTGAGCCTCCATGTACCATTCTTTGTCTTCCCTTAGTTGGCATGTTTCAGTCTACTTAAAATATTTAAATCAACATTTGCCATCCTGCGAGTTGTTGCTACAGTACCCACATTAATATCATATCAGTTACATAGTTTCAGTTGAGGGTGATGAATTTGATTATTCCAAAGAGCGTGAAAAGTTGATAACTGGGAACAATGGAGATAGTCAGGATATCTGTAAGACTCCATGTATGAGAATAAAGTTAATGTTAAGGAAACTGTGTCTTGGTTTGTGAATCATTACCAAGTTGAATCCATTTAACTCACATATCTTCCTACAGTTACCATTTGTCTGCATTAAAATCATTAGTGGTTAGGTTTGTCTAACCGTAATTCTATCATAGTAGAATGACTTTTTGTTGCTTTCATATGCTTTCTGTCACTATTTGGTTTCTCTTGTTTTTAAATGTATTCCTTAATAAATTAGTGAAACAGACAGAAAGAATATTTGCAGAAAAGAATTGGTTCACCTTTATTAGGATATCATTGTAGGTATACTAGACACAAATTCACTCCAGAAAGTAATATAGTTATCAAAGCGTAATGAAACATCAGGAAGCTCACTAAAACGTAAATTTCAGGCTTCTGGCTAGCTGTGATCACATTCTTAGTGTGATAAATTCTAATTTTCATTTTTTTTTTGAGAATAGTCAAGTGATCTGATGGCTAATTGAAGCTGTGTGGTCAGCCACACTAGTAAGGACTCTGGCTCTCAATTTTACAACACCAACATTATCAGCATGATGGCACATTTTCTAAATAATAGCTGGTTATTGCTTCTAGCTTTTCTGGTATTGCTGTTTTAATCTTTTTTTACAAATGCTTACGGAAAAGTATTCAACAATTTTTAGTTCTACAAGGCACATTATATGTGATATTTTATATTAAATTTAAATAACTTGCATTTATATAGTGCCTTTTAGTGTAAAAAGAAATAAGATGCAGAAGCATTATCAGACAAAAATTGAGAAAATCAACGGAGATATTCTGAGGCAGAAATAACAGTTTGGTCAAAGTGTGAGCTCTTCATGGAGGCCTCAAAGGAGAGAAAATTTCTGAAAAATAATACCAGAGATTAGACCTAAATGATAAAGATGGAAGACAAAAGTAAAGCAAAAAGAATGAGATGTGCACCAGAAGCTGAAGTTGGAGGAAGAGAGTTTTTTGACAATTATAGGGGTGGCAGAATTGGTGGAGATAAGGAAAGGCTGAAATCATGCAGATATTTGAAGATCTAACTGGAAGAGAAAGTAAGTTAACAAGTACTCTACTTTGGTAATGGGTGAACAGGATTTGGTGCTTGGAAGGACATGGGCCAGCAGAATTTTGTGTTATTGTTTTTATGGAAAAAACGTTAGTCGAAAGAATATTGGAATTGTCAAGTATGTAGGTTACAATGGCATAAATGACAGTTTTAGCAGGAGATGGACCACCTAAAATCCATGGTCACCATGAGGAATTTGCAGCAGTAAGTCCTCAGGAAGAGGATCTATGAATTCTTGTACAGCCTTGAAAAGGGCAAGGATAATTGCTTTTATTGCCCTTTGTAAGATTTCCAGAATAGCATGAATAGAGGAATTGCTCATGGATTTTCAAGCAAGACTGTTGGATGTTCTGCTGCTTAGCAAGGTACTTGTACCTGCTTTAACTGTGTATCCCAAACACATGGGAGTACCATGCCTTTTTCCAAAGATGTGCAGGTTCTGTGGATAGACCATGCTAAATATCCCTTAATGTCAAGGGATGTGCAGGCTAGATGGGTAACACATGGAAAATGCATGGTTACAGGGATAGGGCAGGGCAGTGGGTCTGGATGGGATGCTCTTCAGGTGGGTGGTGTGGGCTCAAAGCTGAATGGCCTGCTTCCACACTGTTAAGATTCTAGAAGAACTTATTTGGAACTAATCTGTGTTTTCACAGTCACTAAGCCTGAAGAAGCTACTTTTGAAAAGGTCAAGCAATCAGGCATGGTATTTTTAAGATGCTACAAAAACAAAGTTGCTGGAAAAGCTCAGCAGGTCTGGCAGCATCTGTGAACGTCGGTTTTCCCAGCCACCATCAGTTCTGAAGAAGGGTCACCAGACCCGAAACGTTAACTCTGTTTTTCCCTTCACAGATGCTGCCAGACCTGCCGAGCTTTTTCAACAACTTTGTGTTTGGTCCTGATTTACAGCATCCGCAGTTGTTTTGTTTTTTATTTTTAAGGTGCTATTGTTTCTTAGAATAGTGCCTCAACTACCTCATCCTTGCAGCCCCTTTGGAGCCTAGTCAGAACAGCAGTGGGAGTGGAGTGAACCTGGGTGTGAATGGCAACAGCGGAGCTTCTGGATAAAAACTTGAGGAGTAGGACCCAGATCGAGCTCAGTAGGAGCGGCAGGAGGAGAGGGTCGGAGCAGGTGGAATCGTCACTGAACCCAGAGATGCTGTTCCTGAGATAACATCACAGTTTAAAATGTGATGTAGGCAGGAGGATTGGCTGCTTGAGAACCAGCTTTAGAGACTGAGTGAGTAGTACCAGGAGGGAGACAAAGTGCAAAGTCCTTATTTTTGTTATTTGTAGTTTGTTAGGGATAGAGAGGGAGAGAGAGAAATCTGCTTTGGTGTGTATTGGGTAAGGTTGAGTAATTTGTTCCTAGTTTATTGTCTGTAGTTGGCATGGAATGCAATGGCAGGAGAATTTGGCCCCATGGAATGCAGTTCCTACAATATGTGGTAAATTAGCAACACTTCCAGTGTCCACAGTGACCATGTACGCAGGAAGTGTTTTCAGCTGCAGCTCCTGATTTGTTGTAGGTAGATTCACTATGGAGGATCCATGATGCTGAGGACATTGTGGATAGCATGTTTAGCAAGCTGGTCACACCACAAGTAGTGGCTAGACAGGCAAAAAAGAGTTGGGTGTCCATCAGGAAGCATGGGCAAGCAATGCAGGCATCCCCTGTGGCCATCCTCCTCTCAAACAGATATACCATGTTGGATATTGTTGAGGCCTCTCAGGGAAAGCAGCAACAACCATGTTTGTGGTCCTACAGTTGGCTCTGCTGCACAGCAGGGGAGGGAAAAGACCGGGAGGGCTTTAGTGATAGGGGACTCGATTGTTGGGGGAACTGAATAGCAGCAAACGAGACTCTTGAATGGTATGTTGCCTCCCTAACGCCAGGGTCAGAGATGTCTCAGAGCAACTACAGGGCATTATGAATGGGGAAGGTGAACAGTCAGCAGTCGTGGTACTTATTGGTCCCAATAAAATGGGTAAAAAAAAGAACTGAGGTCCTGGAGCACAAGTTTACAAAGTTAGCTAGAAGATCAAAGAGGAAGTCTACTAAAGTAATCTCCTGATTACCTACAATGCCATGCGCTACTCAGTATAGGATTAGGAAGATAGATCAGATGAACACGTGGTTAAAGGGATGGTGTAGGAGGGAGGACCTTAGATTTTTTTGGATCATTGAGGCAGTTTCTGCGGTAGGTAGGACCTGTACAAGTTGGACGGGTTATGTCTGAACCAGAATGGATCCAACATCTTTGCTGGGAGGTTTGCTTGTGCTGTTGGGGAGGTTTTAAACTGATTTGGCTGGGAATGGGGCACAAAATAGATGTAAAGTCAGGAGCAAGATCCAATCGGATATAAAAGGAATGCTAGGACAGTCGAATAGGTGGAGAAGACATGGGTTGGATAAGGCAAATGGGAGGTCTAGAAATTTAGAGCATTGACCAGCACATGGGATTATGATATTGTTGCAGTCACTGAGGCATGGTTGAAGAAAGGGCAAGACTAACAGCTCAACGTTTCAGGGTATAGAGGTTTCAGGCACGATTGGGGGGCAGGGGAGGTGTGAGAGATGGGGGCATTGATTTATTGATAAAGGAAACCATCACTATGGTAATAAGTCCTAGAATGGTCTTCAATTGAGACCGTTTAGGTTCAGGTTAGAAATAAAAAAGGGACAATTATCTTGCTGTTTTAAGCAGCACCATATGAACAGGCACTCTGAATAAACCAACAAAAAATGATGTACCTCAAAAACTGGAATTTTACGGTATTATCAAAATCTCCTCAATGTCCGAGTAGTCAGTTCAGGGGGAAAGTGAGAAGGTTGTCTGCTGGTGAGTTTCATTTAAGGCACATTGCCTTATTTAAGTGATTTATTCTGTAAGTAAAGTATAACAGTGATATCTATACCCCCTGCATTACCTTTCTATTACTTAGTGTGTGTTTTTACATTGATTACATGGACCTCTTGATCAAACCTGGTCCAATTGGTGCCAGTTAATAAAACATTTGTTGTACTACAGGCCTCCTAACAGTCAGAAGGAGATAGATGAACAGCTTTGTATGAAAATCACCAAGAGATATGAGAGAAACAGCATTATACTTGGAAGGAACTTCAACTTCACCAACATTAACAGGGATCACCTTAGGTTCTAAGAATTCTTGTAGCCTTTAAAAGGGCAGGTGCAATTGCTTTTATTGCTTTGCAAGATTGCCAAAAGAGTAGGGGAATTCAAAAATTTGTTTGGAATTAAACTGTATTCTCTGTGACTGAGCCTGAATAAACTATTTTTGAAAAGCTCAGCTATCAAGTGTGGTATCTTGAAGGTGCTATTGTTTCTTAGCACAGTACCTTAACCATTTCATTGTTGCAGCAGTTTTGAAGTGCATTCAGGAGAGATTTTTGGGCCAGTACGTAGATAGCCCTATGAGAGATGGGACAGT